TGCGTGGTCCATACGAGAGATTCAGTCCCTGCGATAATTGGATGGAGGATGAAGACTGGGATAAAGGAACTTGTCGCCTATATGGCAAGATAAATGAAGAATATCGGTTCATAACGGAGCTCTGAATCAGGAACAACGACGCCATCCACTGGAACCCCACAAAATGAGTTCGACACGGAGCAGAGCTACCTGAAGAAAGAAGAACGTTGCAAGAGCAACTGTAGAAGAACAGTCCTACAGCAAGGTAAGTCCTACAGATTAGTCTGGTCTTGACATCGCTACTGCGCCATGGCAATCTGTATGGTAATGTATGGTAATCGACACCAACGATTATGTTTAGTTTGCTTCGCCATGTAACTAATCACACCTCTTCTGTCATCATCTCGAATCCGAATTCCGAATCTGAGATTAATAACGCTGGTCATTCAAAAGAGGGAGACTACTAAATACCAATCTTGAGTAGGCCTTACGTCATTTACCATTACGAGGCGCAGGATCGTGGCAGATCTTGCTTTGCATTGGAGAGCAGTCACGCAAAAAGTTTTAAAATTATGTTTATGTGCATGAAAATCACCCCCGGTAGTCCTGGTTTACTCGCAAAGTGCTAGTGTCTGATCCCAACGGTAAGACTAACACCCACAATCTCGTGCGCCGTCTGCCGACTCCCATTTCGACATAAAGAAAAAATGTTTTTATTTCAGTAAATTATTTACAGAGTCTATTGTCAACCGGTGTCCTGTTCTCCTCGATACCTCGTCGTGAATACACCCCATCTGACGTAGTGAGATTCTATGTTTATGTAAGAGACCACTGACAGAAGAATACTGAAGAAAATGCTATATTCTCAGTCGTATGGCGCAGGAGAAAGCGCTGTGCCTGGCATTTAGCTCAGCGGCATATTCGAATGACGGAGACCCAGCTGGAAAGCCGTTAAGACAAAGTCTGCTAGTTGAACAGAATTCGCATGCATGGCGAATTGTATGAATACAATCAATAGCATAAACAGAAATCTCTGGCTGAAAGTCGCCACCGCAATGCAGTGGTTGGAAAGAACCAAGAAAAGATGTCTGCAAGGCGGTCCAATTTCAATGCACCTGGACGTGCAGGTCACACAAAAGCAGCAGCACCATATTTTGGTCCTCGAGACGAAAACGTTTTTGTCAATGAGGATGGTTAGAAAGAGACCGTCAAATGACACTGACTTTTTGGAACACTGGCTTCGGTTGTGAGGCCACTCGGTCCACGCGATAGCCGGGTAGGAGGGAAACGCAGCGGTCGACTGCCAGGGCCGCGCGCGAAAACAATGCGACTTGGTAATAAATCAGGGAATTACAACACGGCGATACTTACAACGACACGACCCTTGGCCCCTGTGGCCGGTTGACGACTGGAAACCAGCACTTGCTGCTGAGGTCCGGTTTCGCCCTCCGGAGGCATGTGCTCGTAAACCGTCGTCGCCTCCTCGGTCGCAACAGCCCGTTCGTCGCTGTCATCTGGCG